CTCTGGACAGCCGGTTCTCAGCTTTCCCTGCTTGTTTGTCTACCTTGATGAGGGACAGCAAAGCATTTTGTCTCTGTGTGCTCTGGTTGCCCTCACTCGGGACACCACAGCACTTGGCAACATGGAGCCAGAGCTGTCCCTGGGCACTCTGGTGCTTCTCGTGGATGCATTGCTGTGAGCCTGGCTGCACTTTCTGCAGGCTGCCATCCGGGAAGTCCATTGGGGGGCTGTCAGTATCCAGGAGGCTCTGTAGGAGAGCTTCCTCCCTGAGGACTATTACGAGCCTCCCTGGTCTGCCCCACTCGGGGCTTGTGCCTCATTCCTCCCTCATGTCCTTCCACTTAGCCTTCCCTAACCCCCCTTCTTGATGTCAAATAAAATACACGTATTTTCATGAACACAAACTCTCTTTATTTAACAAAACTGGGAGAAGGGAATGAAACTCTGGTGAGACTGAGGAAAGTATGCAAGAGTGGGTGGGAGAGGGAAGGAGGAAACCTGGGAGGAGGGAGCTGGAAGGGGGAAGCAAGGGAAAGAAGGGGGAGGGGAAGCTCAGGGTTGGGGGTCTCACCGGACCAACTTGATTTTCATACAAATCTACTCCTGGGCTCGCATGCGGCCTTTGGTGGCCAGGCTGGCAGCTAGCCTGCCATAGATGGCCGTGTTCCTCCATCTAGTGCAGAGATCATGGATGTTGGGGGCATCCCCTCCAAACCTGAATAAGGTCCATGATCTCCACCCTGGACCAAGAAGGAACCTGCCTTCTCCAGGCCCAGGCAAGCTCCTGGGAGCTGGCAGACTGCTCCTGGGGAGCGGTGGAGGGCTGGCTGCCTGTGGCTTGCTGGCTCATGTTTGGGGGCCACTGGATCAGTTTGCCTGTGTAGATGCTATTAAAGTTAATTCAAAATAACTGCTGTTATTTCGAATTACCTTTGTAGTGTAGACATACCCTGGGAATAGCACAGGGCATGAAAGCAAGTAAATGCGCTCCCAACCTCTCATGCCGGGGGAAGGGAGAGTAGTGTCCTTGGTTGAGGCTTGAGTGGCCACCAGGGCACCCTGGGAAGGCTGGAGACCCCCTATTTCGGTATAAGTGTCTTCACAGCACTTAGGCTGTGTCTAGACTGCAGGGTTTTTTCAAAAAAAGTAGCCTTTTTTTCTAAAAAACTTCACCTGCGTCTAGACTACAACCGCGTTCTTTCGAAATTAAATTGAAAGAATGTGGCTTTTCTTTCGACTGCGGTACTCCTCATTTCACGAGGAATAACGCCTTTTTTCGAAAGTGCTCTTTCGAAAAAAGGCACTATGTAATGCAAACTGTGCTTTTTCGAAAGAGAGCATCCAGACTGCCTGGGTGCTCTCTTTCGAAAAAGTAGCTTGCTTTTTCAAAATTACTGGTTGCAGTCTAGATGCTCTCTTTTGAAAGAGGCTTGCAGTCTAGACGTAGCCTTATTTTGAGATAGCTGTATCAAATTTGGTGTTATTCCTTGTGGAATGAGGTTTACCAAATTCAAAATAAGCGCTCCACTATTTTGAATTAATTTTGAAATAGCAGTTTGGCTGTGTGACACTAGTAAAGTTATTTCGAAATAACAGCTGTTATTTTGAAATATCTTTGCTGTGTAGACATACCTCCAAAGACTAACAATATATATATAGTACCATGAGCTAATATGGAAAATATGCAGTGTTATTGTAGCCAGGTCTGTCCCAGGATATTAGAGGCAAGGGAAATGGGATAATATCTTTTACTGACCAACATCTATTAGTGAGGGAGACAAGCCTTTGAGCTTGCAAGAAGCCCTTTTTATCCAGAGAAGAGTTCTGTGTAGCTTGAAAACTCATCTCCCTCAGCAACAGAAGGTAAAAGCTATCTCATCCACTTTGTGTCTCTAGCATAAAAAGGTATGAAAGCCTTTAAATTCTAGTGGGAGTTTTGACTTCACAGGATTAGGCTCTTGACATACATTTAGTTTTAGTATAAATTTCTTCATATCCTACTTATAACATTTCCATTCCCTTCAGTGGTTATGAGTACATACACTTAACTTTTCAAAAAAAGAGTTGAAGGGGGGAGAGATTAATAGCCTCAGTGATTTGCTTGGTTCAAAGATGATTATAATGCCAACAACATTAATACTCTAGGATTCAATAAATCCAATCTGTGGGCTAGATGGCTATGACATGTTGACTGAGATGCTGAGTCGCAAATCTCCAGATCCTTGTCAGTCTGAGCTGTGCACCCTAAGCTGTGGAAACTGGATGGCTACGTAAAACCAGCTCTCTCAGCATCTTAAGCAGAACAACTGAATTACTGAATAACCTGCAGCTTGTTTAGCTTTGCTTTCAAAATCAGCACAGTATTCCCTGGGAATTAGTTTAGGCATCTGGGAAATCAGGAAATAATTCAGCGAGTCAAAAGAAAATGAATGTAGTACAAAGACCAGAATGCAAAAATGTATTAGCAAGCTGTCCTGGTACACCTTGGAATCAAGTTTTTGAGCTACAATGGAAGAACTGTGCCAAACTAATTGTATCTGAGTTGTTGTTAACAGATTTTTGTTAAATTTGTATTTTAACACTAATTTTAGCAAACATTAGTCTAAGAAGCTTGAATCCAAACTTATTGTGGAATGCTGTAATTACATACAAACATTGGAATAATAAAGCACTTGTATACCTCAAAGGATAAATATAATAGAGACTCAGGTGCTTGGATACCATGGTAACGAGTGTTAAGTACTTATTTAAGATAGTAAAGATGGTTCAGTATGGCTAAGTGTAAAATCCTCCTTGCCTTACTCACATGAGTAGACCTATTAAGGCCATTAAGACTATTTGTGTAGGACAAGTAGAATTGAATTGTAAATCCTGGTGTACCCTAGGAATTTTGACTAGTAAAACTTGCTTTATTTCAGCACACTCTGACCACACTCAATTTTGAGTTCTGTCAGTAAAATCTGGAGTTTCTGTTGGTGGCTGAAAACACCCTCCCCCCCTTATTAGGCCCCCATCACTGAAGTATCGTAGGGTATGTCTACACTACCCCGCTAGTTCGAACTAGCGGGGTAGTGTAGACATACCCTTAGTGTGAGCAGCAAGCTACTAGTCTAGAAGATTGGGGTTCAGTTCTCTGTTTTGCCTAGATGTCTTTTGTGACATTGGGAAAGTCATCCCGTGTGCCTTAATTCCCCATCTGTAAAAATGAAGATTTTAGTCCACATTTCAGATTGTGCTCAGAGTAATGTTATAAGCATAGACACTGGTTAGTCTAAAAATTGGAAACTATCTGGGTCTTCCCTGGGTTTCAGTTGCCTTTCTGAGCACCACGATAAGGGAGAATATATTTTTTTCTAAATACATTTGGACCTACTTATAGCATTTTCTTTCCTAAAATAAGACCCCACAGACGGACTGTTTGCAGAATTCTCACCTTTGTAGATTCCATTCCAACCACCCAGCTGGACATTGTGGTTTTGAGCTTCCAAGGATCCTCCATGGTCAGATGTGAAATAAGTGAATGTGTTGTTTGTCAAACCTTCTTTGTCAACAGCATCCAGAATTCTGCCTGTAAATAAAGAAAAAAACCATGCTGCTCAGTACAGAGAAATAGGGTTACAAATATATCATTAAGGAACAAAGACTGAAGTGCAGGAAGGGATGGTTCCAGGCAGGAAAGAAGGAAGACTGTCAAGGAATGGTTCAATAAAGAACTAGATAAATTCATGGAGGTTAGGTCCACCAATGGCTATTAGCCAGGATGGGTAGGAAAGGTGTCCCTAGCCTCTGTTTGCCAGAAGCTGGGAACCTTTCATGAATTTTCCCTCACAACACCCCTGTGAGTCAGGAAAGTGTTGTTATCCCTATTTGGTAGATGGGGAACTAAAGGACAAAGAAGCTAAGTCACTTTCACAAGACCACACAGGAAGTCTATGGTACAACAAGGACTTGAATCCAGAACTCACAAATTCCAGGCTAGTGACCTTCTTCTCATACATTGGTGACAGCTGATAACATTCCCTTCAAGTTTCAAAAATCTTTTCCCATAGGAGGCATCATAAATTAATGCAGCTGCCATAGATTTTCTCTAGACTAATCACACCCTGAAATATACAGTGATCCATTTCACATGTCACAGTATATATATCGTAGATGGTGCCACCTATGCATCCTCAGTAGAGTTCCTCTAGATTTACTTTAGTGTATCTCAGAGAAAAATTAATCTCAATATGTCTTCTAACAGCATAAATAATAATTATGTTCTGGTCCTCTAACTAATGTTTGAAACCCAAGAAAAGTTTGTAGTGAAAGGCACTGTTAACTAGATTGAAAAGGAGACACTGAAACTTAAACCAGATAGAATGTTCACTCTTACATATTGCAAGGGTGGCTGACATTTCAGTCCTGGGGGAATTCTACAATTTTATTATAGCACCAAATGTAACACTTACAGAGTACCTCTTGGACCAACATTTGTTTTTTATAAAGGTAAGTAATAGAGATGTATACAAAGGCAGCAAGTGGGGGAGAGGCAAGCAGGAACCATTGCTGCAGGGAGCCATTTCCCCCCAGCATTGGATCCATGGTGGTGCCTCCACCCCTTTCACCTGCGTTGCTGCCTCTATCAGCATGTGGAGGGGCAGGGGAGACTGCCGCAAAGCAGCCTCTGTCTCCAGCAGTCCCAAGCTTCCCGTGGACAAAGGATGCTCCACCTCCCAAAAAGCACCCTCTGTCCATGGTAAGCCTTGGCTCACCACGAACAGAAGCTGGCCACGGCAGCGGGATACAGTGGGATGGCAGGGAGCTCCATGTAGTGGGACCAGAGAACACTGACTGCCAGCCCCACCCCTGGGGACTGTAGAACAGTCAAGTAACTGAGAAGAATTCATGCGGTTATTTGACTATTCAACTACCTGATATCTAACATCCCTAGTAAGTAACATATAATCATTTTCGATTACAATAATGATTATCTAAAGGAACTTCTCTTTTCTCCTTAGGTTATGTTGACATTGGACTGATTCCAAAAGGAGCAAGGGACATCAGAGTAGTAGAAATGGCAGAGGCAGGAAATTTCCTTGCAGTGCGGAGTGAAGACCCAGAGAAGTATTACCTAAATGGGGGGTTTATTATCCAGTGGAATGGAGAATACAAAGTGGCAGGGACAACATTTCAATATGAGAGAAAAGGAGATCTTGAAAATCTGACAGCATCTGGACCCACCAATGAGTCAGTCTGGATACAGGTATAGTAAAGGGTCAGCAGCAGAAGCTGGTAACTCTGACTAGAAGCAGAATGATCTCGAGCTTTTAAAACAAGTCAGGAAAAATAGCTTTTATAATTAATTCCATTAGTACTCCAGCAAAAGTTCCTTCATTATCTATTTGGCTGTCAATGTAGTCATATGAGTGAAGGTCTTGATTCAAGAGTTACTTAAGCACATACCTACGTTTAAGAATATAAGTAGTCCAATGACTTTGCTTAAAAATGTGCTTGAGTACCTTAATGAACTGGTACCAAAAATCCAAAGGGAGAAAGTTCTATTCAATCTTTTAATGCTCACTGCCTAAGAGTGCTCCTTAAAATATATGTTCTGTTGATTTATCCAGTCTAACTTTAAATAGATCAGACTAATATTTGCCTGTGGGAAGGTACTTGTAGATTCCCTTTTTCTGTCTGGAATGTATCTATCCTCTCTTTTCCCTCATTTACTTAGTATGCCACAGATTTGTATTAAACATAAAACCATAGAAAAAGAAGGGAGGAAGGAATGGGACCTACTAGTGCACCATTCCCACATCTTACATTTATGGGAAAGATGTATCCAAGAGAGTTCACTGGATGATCCTTGTTCAGTGTGCAGAGAAACAGACTTAGAGCAGGAAAATAAAGATTTTTGTCAGTGTGTTTTGTGTTCAGTGTTGCCTGGTTAGGTGGGAGTAAACCATTTTATGGAAGAGTTTCAGTATTTATCCCCTAAAGATTATCTTCTTCCTCACCTCTGTTATCTGCCAAAAGTAAATGAACAATTTGTTTGACTTGCTTACTGCCTGTTGCAGCTAAGAATTTTCCTCTTTATTTAAGGAGACATATTACAAAACAACATTAAAGCCACGTTTTGATAAATATGCTGCTATTTGCTGTGATACCATATGGAACTGCTGTTTCATACAGTTGAGATACTGTCATTTAAAATGAAATTAGCATATAAATATAGGTATTAATAAAATGTCCATTTTCAGTTATCTCAATGTGTTTATTTTGCTTAGCCTTGTCTTGTAGTTATAACGACAGAATATACTCTAACGCGAATTTTCAAAAGTATGCTTGTAAAAGTACATGTTTGCTTTAGTGCACCCCACATTTAAATCCAACTTATCCCCCCTAAACACCTGTGAACAAGTGAGGGTTTGATATTATAGACGTTTCTCAAGTGCAGGCATGCTTTGAGAGTCAAGTGTTTCCAGGCTGGGTGCCTATAAAGATTTGCTGACACTTTGGAACTATACTATTGCACATGGGTGGGAAATAATTTTTGAGGGGGCCCTCCAAGATTCTGGAAAGTGGTCAAAGGCTGCACTTTTCGGTGGAGGATGTGTGGTTTGAGATGGATGTTGGGTGCAGAAGGGATCTTGGAGTAGGTGATTGGGGTGCAGGAAAGGGTGTGGGGTCTGAGAGGGAGTTTGGGGTTGTGACCTGGGGCAGGGGATTGGGGTTCAGGGTCCATGAGGGAGTAGGAGTGCAGGAGTGAATTTTGGGTAGGGTGTAGCAGGGGTGCAGGGTCTGGGAGGGAATTGTGACCTGGTGTAGGATGTGTGTGACCTAGGATAGGAGGCGGTAGTGACCTGGGGCAGGGAGTTTGGAAGAGGCAGGCTCTGGCCGGGAGACACTTACCTAAGGCAGCTCCTGGCCAGCATCCCAACAGGGTCCCTGAGGCTCTCTTCTGCAACAGCCCATGGGATGCTCCCCTGCCCCCAGGCCAATCATCACAGCTGGTAGTGGGGACGGGGGAGCACACAACCTTTCTCGCCCCTGCCAGATTCGAGTGGTGCTTAGAGAGAATCGCAGAGGGGAAAGGGAGAAAGACTTCTCATGCTCCCGTACCCCCAGGCCAGTTCGGGCCTGGGAGCATGAAAGTGCACAAAGTCTGTCACCCTGCCACATTCCCTGCCAGGCGTATACCTCACTGATCAAAACAGCTGGCGGCTCTCTCTAGGCGCTGTGTGACCCTGGTGGGTGGGGAGGAGGAAGGAGCCACTAGATATTTTGAACAGCCTCAGGGTCTCGGCAGGCCAAATCAAATAGCGTGGCGAGCCATATCTTGCCCACCGATGCTCTTGAAGTTGTGGGCCAATGTGTTATTATCATAGACAGAACATAATTAAATCATATTTTTTTTTAGCTACTCTTTCAGGAAAATAACCCTGGAATAAAGTATGAATACACTATACGTAAAGAAGGAAGCCTGGAGAATGAAGTAGAGGATCCAGAATATTTTTGGCAATATGGAGGCTGGTCGGATTGTAGTGTAACGTGTGGAAGAGGTTGAAAATACCTTTTTATTCTATTATGTTTTTAATTCACTGACAACTGATTTACTCTGTTTATTACAGACAGGGGAGATGCATGGGGGGCATGAGGAGTCACATGTCCCACATGCTGTAGGTGTAAGGGGCTGGCCAGCAGCTGGCAGGGGAAGTCTAACCCTGCACTGGAGTCCCTCCACCCCACACTCACCAGCAGCAGCTGAGCAAAGCAGCTCTGCTCTGGGAGAGGGGCTGGACTATTCCACACTCCCTGGTGACAGAGTAATGCAACTGAAGGAGCAAAAGTGAGCCTTTGTCCCAAGGCTTCTAGGGTTGGCTGTCCCTAGAGGGTGAGTCTCCACCCTTTGGTGGTGGGTACCTTGACCACTGTATGAGCTCCCCAATATTCTACACCCCCCCCCTTATCCTTCCTTTGCCCCAGGGTGCCGGGTCTGTCCATCACCAAGTGGGGGAGGGGTGTGATTGTCCCCAGGGAAAGCTTGAGCCCTTGACCTCTGGCTCCAGAGGCAAGTACCTTATCCACTGTGCAAGACCCCCCCCAACCTCTTGACTTTCCGTGCCGCCCCTTATCCTTCCTTTATCCCAAGGGTGGGGGACAGGGCTTGAACCCTCCACCTGTGGCTCAAAAGACAAGTATCTTACCCACTGCACAATCCCCCCAACCTCCCTCTAGTCTACACTCCTCTTACCTTTATCCCCGGAGTACCAGGTTTGTCCATCACGAAGCAGCGGTGGTTGTCCCTGGGCAGGCAGGCGGGGGGGGGGAGGGTGCATGGGCTTAAGCCCTTGACCTCAGGGTCCAGAGTCAGGTACCTTATGCACCATGCCACTTGCTCTGCTTTCCTCACCACTGCTGATGGCCCTGCTAGTCTCCTTCAGCATCCTCTCCCCCCCCATTCCAGCTCTGCTAGTCCCCTGGGCCACCTTAGTTGGGGGAAGAGGCAGGGCAAGGCTGGAGGGAGGTGGGGAGAGAGTGTTGCAGGGCAGGGAGAGAGCAGGGAAGAGGCAGGATAGGAGCAAAGCAAGGCTGGGGAGGGGTGGGAGAGTTCCTGGGGTGGAAAGGAGTTGTCTCAGCCCTTATCCAGATGGTGGGAGGGGCATGTGGTCAGTGGCCCCCAGATACTTCCTCACCCATTCACCTCTCATTAAAGATTAATAGAGTTTGAAGCTAGAAGGGTCATGTAGTATGACTTCATACACAGCTAGGTTTGGTAGAATTTGACTTAAAAAAATCCAATTCTGACAGATAATATTGACGTGTTTAAGCATTTTGCCCCCTATTTATATTGCGTTCATTTTCACAGTTGTGGGAAATAATTGGTTCCGGGGGAGTGTGACACAGTAGACATATAATGACCATATACGTAAGATTAAAAAAGTGAAAAGATTTATAAGATGGCTGTCAATAAATGTTATGCTGTATTCATTGCATGTTTTACATACATTAAGACGGGACCGTAATAAGTTCACAAATAGCATTTGCTTATTTTGCCTATTCATAGATTTAGGATATCATCAATGGAAATATTTTTTCATAGGTGTGTTGTTTGTATGATGAGGTCATTGTTTACTAATATAATTCTAATCTTCTAAGCCAATATATAACACAGGTGATACAACTCCTTGAATTAATTCCTGATGAACTAGAACATATCTAAATTTAATGATGAATTTAAAAATTGCTAGTGATGGAGACTCCACCATAATTCTTTGTTAAAATTTCTTAAGGTGGCAAATGGTTTTTTATAACATTTCACCTGAATTTCATCCTCTTCTACAAACCTACCTGAAAAAATTAGTTTAACAGTGAGGGTACTCAATGGTGCACATTATTTCCTGTCTGTACTTGTCTAGTTTCAACTTCCAGCCATTCAGTCTTGTTAGTCCTGAGTCTGCTAGGCTAAAGAGCCCGTTTTTGTTCCCAATGTAGGAACTTAGAAACTGTGATCCTGTCAGTCCTTACCTAGAGCTGAAAGTAAGCTGGTTCTCCCTGGTGCACTGAGAATGTCCCATACTCTTTGCTTCGAGATGTATAGCTTTGCCTGTGGCCATATCAAGTGCATTACACTTGGCTTACTAAGAGAGACAGATTGTTCCACATCACTGGTGTGTTATCTCCATTATATATCACTACCCCAATCTTTGAGTCAGCCTCAAGTTTTATCAGTGATTTTATTTTTTCTTCCAAGTCATTGATAAAAATGCTAAATAGCATTGGCTAAGTGCTGGTCCCTGCAGAACTTCACTAGAAACACATTGGCTGAATTATGATTCACTATTTTCAATTACAGTTATCATTTAAAAAATAACAAGGTAGCACCTGTAGCACCTTAGAGACTAACAAAAATATATAAATAGTATCATGAGCTTTTGTGGGCACAGCCCATTTCTTCACATGACAAGCATGGTGAAATATAAAGCTTGAAATATAAAGTTTGAAATATAAAGCAGAAAAAGAGGGGATGGGGGAGGAGAAAGAAAGGAGGGAAAGGAAAAAAAACCCTGTCAATTAAAATTTTTTTAAAAACAAAAAATAGTCCTGCAGCACCTTAGGGTACATCTACACAGCAGCATTATTTTGGAATAACTGACGTTAGTCAGAAATAACAAAAAGAGTGTCTACACAGCAAACCATTATTTCGAAACAATGGCGAGCTGGAGGACGACTTACTCCGACTCCTGTAACCCTCCTTTTACAAGGAGTAAGGGAAGTCGCTGTGTAGACATACCCTTAGAGATCAATAAAAATGTAGATGGTAGTATGAGCTTTTGTAGGCACAACCCACTTCTTTACATGAATGAAGTTAAAGGGTCAAGGGTACAAATAAACAGCAGAGAAAGAATGGAGATGGGGAGTGAAAGAGAAGGGAAAAAGTGGGGAACAAATATTGTCAATTAGAATGTCCATGCTAAATAAGGCTAATCGAGTGGTTTCTAAGTATCTGGTGCTTAGCTGTTTATGTCGTTAGGGTAGGAAATATACCAGCCCATTCAGTTCAGGTCTTTGTTCAGACCTCAGTTTCAGGTGTCAAACTTGTAAATGAAACCATTAATTATTAGCTCTGTGATCAGTTCCTCTTAAACTGTTGAGAGGACAGTTAATGTAGAATTTCTCTGTTGGAATATAATTAAAATAACTAATAATTATTACAGTGCACTCATAAAATTATAACAAGCAGAAATGCAAAATGTCACCTTAGTCATCCTCTGGCTGCTGTAGTTTTGTTCCCTCCTAGTTCATGTAGTCTAATTATAAATGACTCAAGCAATTGGACTCCTATCACTTTGCAGTTGAATTGTTAGAAAATTCAACGAGGAGTCCTGTGGCACCTTAGGGTATGTCTACACAGAAACATTATTTAAAAATAAAGTAACTAGTGTTATTTCGAAATAACAGTCCTCATCTACACAGCAGGAAGATATTTTAAAATAATGTTGAAATACTCTCAAGCTGGAGAACTTACTCCAACTCCTGTAACCCTCATTGTATGAGGAGTAAGGAAAGTTGGAGGAAGAGTGCTCTATTTCAAAATAAGTGCTGTATAGATGCTCCCAATTTCAAAATAAACTACAGCCACTCCCTGAGTTACGAACAAGTTACGGACCAACACTTAGTCCGTAACTCGAAGTATTCATAACTTGGAACCCATAGAGTTACACGGCAACCGCACTGTTCGTAAGCGCGGATTGCCATTCGTAACTCAGATCTGCATTTACGACCGCTTTGGTCATAAGTGCGGATGGTCATAACTGGAGGTGGTCGTAATGTGGGGAGCGGCTGTATTTTGAAATAAGTGACGCAATTACCATAGCTTAATTTGTGTAGCTTAATTTGAGTAAAGCCCTACTGTGTAGACTCACAGCAAAGGTGCGTCTACACAGCAAAGTTATTTTGGAATAACGGTTCCACTTCTGCTATTTCGAAATAGCCCCTTCAAAGTAGCCTACTTCAAAGCCTACTTCAAAGTAGGCATAAGAGATCCTCCGGAAAAGGGCTTTTTTCCGGAGGATCGGGGCCAGTGTAGACGCTCTTTTCCGGCTTTTCTAAAAGCCGGAAAAAAGCGGTGGACATTTTTATTTAAATGCCGCGGGGGATATTTAAATCCCCCGCGGATTTCCCTATTACGACCTGTGGTGATGGAGACTCCACTACTTCCCTAGGTAACCCATTCCAGTGCTTCACCACCCTCCTAGTGAAATAGTTTTTCCTAATATCCAACCTCTCCCACCACAACTTGAGACCATTGCTCCTTGTTCTGCCATCCGTCACTACTGAGAACAGCCTCTCTCATCCTCTTTGGAACCTCCCTTCAGGAAGTTGAAGGCTGCTATCAAATTCCCCCCTCACTCACCCTTTCTACAAAACAGAGGCTTCAAGTCTTTTCTTTAAAACACAAAATACATTTTTGGAGACAAATGCTACGAATAGTAAAAAGTAAGTTGATTTTTTAATTGATTGGTAACTTTCAGCTGTGAGTAAGATTGTTCTTCAGAGATGTTTGTTGATCTCAATAAGAGCTATTAGATAGCAGGAAAGTCTAAGCAAGATAATAGAAATACCATTGTCTTAGCCATTTATAACTAGACTGCATAATATAGTGGGGGAACAAACTTGCCCCTGTAAGGGGATGGCTAAGAGAACATTAATCTTTTCCATTTCTAATTGTTAACATTTTTGTGAGTGTTGGAAGATAATTATTGGTTACTTCAATTACATTCCATGAGATTTTAGTGTTAAAGAGACAAACAAAAAAATCAAAAAACAAATTAAGTGTGAAGTCAAGTGTATTAAGACAGCAAAGAAAAACATTAATGCTGGTGTTTAAATCTTCCGCACGAGGAAAATAACTATGGTTGTTTATTTTCCATTATTCGAAGAACTGTCTTGTTACAGATTTCATTTTAGGAAATTAATGCCTGGGGTCAATGTGATTTCTTTTTCATGCTAATTGTTAGGTCTGTCACGTGATTGATCACATGATTAAAAAAATTAATTG